ATTTCTATAGAACGCATATATCATTTTTTTCAGTTTTTTAAAATTTCAGATTAATATGAGGGTACACATGTTTAGGTTACATTGTTTTCAGTTCTAAGGTAAAGTTCAAGTTGTAGCTGAGCCCTTCACCCAGGGGGAGTGCTGAAAACCCTTGTATTGTGCATATTAGGTCAGATCCCACTAATCATCTGCTTTCTGCCCCCTCTTTCTCTCCCTTCCCTCTCCCTACACTACTTGTATTTTTTCTTTCATGTGGGTGTAGGGTTGTTTATATATTGGTTTCATATTAGTATTAAGTACATTGCATACTTTTCCCCACCATTCCTGAGATACTTTACTAGGAAGAATGTTCCAACTTTATCCAGGTAAACACAAAAGATATAAAGTCTCCATCTTTTTTTCTCCTTATAATTTTATTTTATGTCAGGTTAATGTGAGGGTACAAATAACTAGGTTACAGTATTTGCATTCGTTAAGCAGAATCTCTATTTTAGTTGTGTCCCACACCCAAAAGGTGTACCATCCTTACATCGTACTCATTAAGTGGAAGCACACCAATCCCCTCTCCTCACCTGCTTCCCTCGTCCCTCCTCCCTCAACTTGAATTGAGTTTTTCTCCTATGTGGGCATGTGTTAGATCAACTACTGGCTTCATATTAGTCTTAAGTACATTGGATATTTGGTTTTTCATTTTTGTGATATTTTACTGAGGAGAATGTGTTTTCACTCCATCCAGGTTAATACAAAAGATGTGAAATCGCCATCTTTTTTATGGCTGAATAGTATTCCACGGTATGCATATACCAGTTTATTAATTCATTCCTGGGTTGATGGGCATTTAGGTTGTTTCCACATCTTGGTGATTGGAAATTGAGCTGTGATACGCAATCTAGTGCAGATGTCCTTATGATAAAATAATTTTTTCTTCTGGGTAGATGCCTAGTAATGGGATTGCAGGATCAAATGGAAGGTCTGTTTTGAGTTCTTTGAGGATTCTCCGTACTTCTTTCCAAAAAGGTTGTGTTAGTTTCCAGTCCTACCAGCAGTGTAAAAGCGTTACCCTCTCTCCACCTCTGTGCTAGTATCTGCAGCTTTGGGAGTTTGTGATATGAGCTATACTCACTAGAGTTAGGTGCTATTTCGAGTTGGGTTTTTTGCATTTCTCTGAAGATCCGGAACAGTGAGCATTTTTCCAAATGTTTGGTAGCTATTTGTCTGTCTTCCTCAGAGAAGGTTCTGTTCATGTCTCTTGCCCGGTGATAGATGGGATTATTTGCTCATTTTTTGTTGATTAGTTTGAGTTCTCTATAGATTTTAGTTATCAACCCTTTGTCAGATTATAACATGAAAATATCTTTTCCCATTCAAAAGGATGTCTATTTGCTTTAATTGTTGTGTCCTTAACTGTACAGAAGCTTTTCAGCTTAAGTCTCATTTGTTAATTTTTATCATTGTTTCAATGGCTGCTAAAGTCTTCTTCATAAAATCTTTCCCCAATCCAACATCCTCAAGAGTTTTTCCCACATTTTCTGCTAGGGTTTTATCATTTCATGTCTTAGATTTAAATCTTGTATACATCTTGAGTCAATTTTTGTAAGTGGTGAAGGGTGCAGGCTCAGTTTCAGTCTTTTACATGTGGTTATCCAGTTCTCCGAACACCATTTATTAAATAGGGATTTATTTCCCCCCGTGTATGCTTAAGTTTGGTTTATCAAGGGTGAGATGGCTGTAAGAGACTCACTTCATCTCTTTGTTTTCTGTTTGGTGCCATATGTCTATTTCTCTATTATTGTGCCAGTACCATGCAGTTTTGATAACTGTGAACTTGTAATATAAGTCCACATTGAAGTCTAGTAGAGTAATGCCTCTGGGTTTGTTTTTATTACTAAGAATAGCCTTGGCGATGTGGGTTTTTTTCTGGTTCCAGATGATCCAGTTCTTCAAAGTGTGATATTGGTATTTTAATGGGGATTGCATTGAATCTGTAGTTTTCTTTGGGTAGAATAAAACGTTTTAACAATGTTGATTCTTCTTAGCCAAGAGCATGGTATGTTCTTCCATTTGCTAATGTCTTATGGTATTTTTTAAAAATACTTTTTATTAGATCATAATTGTGTACATTAATTCTCTCATAGGATACAGTGTGTTACTTCTATATGCAGTTTGGAAAACTCTCATCCAAGTGGCTAACATAGCCATCATGTCTTTCTCATAATTGTT